ACAGTTATTGTTTCTCTCTGCTTTTTTAACATTTTTAAGGGCTATATTTCATTCCAAAGCCTCAGTGAGCCCAAATTCCTGCTTAGTGGCCAACTCCAGTCCACAGGGCCAAACTGTGGGATAACTATTATGTAGAGAGACTAGCAGTAGATAGTAGTTTTGTTTGGTATGGACAGACCCTGTAGCAAATCACTGCAGCATGGGGAGCCCACCAGGAAGTTTGGTAGGACGGCTGAGTCAAGCACACTCAATATCCTGGTGTCTGTGTCTTGCTGCCTAAAATTATATGTTGTTTCCGTGGTGATCAAGTGATACTAAAGGCAGCACAAACGTTTCCAAACGTTTCCTAACAAAATGCATATTTCAGGAACACTGTACCTACAAATCAAGAATGGAGGGTTAGCACATCTCAAACCATCGCAACAGGACGAGCTAAGTGGAGCACACTCAATATCCTGGTGTCTGTGTCTTGCTGCCTAAAATTATATGTTGTTTCCGTGGTGATCAAGTGATACTAAAGGCAGCACAAACGTTTCCAAACGTTTCCTAACAAAATGCATATTTCAGGAACACTGTACCTACAAATCAAGAATGGAGGGTTAGCACATCTCAAACCATCGCAACAGGACGATCACGGTCGTCACTGGGAGTTTTGTTTCCCTTTCTGTAGTTTTTTTGAGGATTCAAATAATAAAAAAGGCTGTGGAGAAAAAAGTTTCAGAAATGATGTGGGGAGAAGGAATACCATCTATAACAACATCTGTAATGGCCAAAAGCCCATTTTCTCCCCATATTCTGTCTCTAACAGGGAATATTAATGGATACTAGGAGCAAGTCTTAAAGATACGCGGCATGTATACAGCGATCTTTCTTAGAATACTTTCTAGCAATCAGCTTGTGATTATTTATCAGTAACTGATAAAGCTGTCAGGCAAAGGATTTAGCTAGTCATTCAGAGGATATACTCTGTGAATTCCAGCAAAAGATTTGGGTTGATTTCTAATGTAAACATAGTAGCCATGGAGACTTATTTAATTCATTAATATTAGGAATTTAGAACTGATAGACTTCCAAATCCATCACTGAAATCAGTACAATCAGCTTAATTTTCTTAAGAACTTTGAAAACATCAGATAACCAATTTCACCTGTAGCTATACAGACCTTGAATAGCGTGCATCTTATGCAGATAGGAATCTCAACATTACTGACTTCCTTGCCTGCTAAGGACTTGTGAAGTTTTGTGTAGTATCTTAAGAGTCAAATTTAAACATATCTGGAGAAAGTAAGTTTGAGCAGTGATATCCAATCCATGTTCTGTAGGATTCAGGCAAGTTTTGGAAACTGCCTCTCAGTCCATAGTTTTCAACTTGTGTAAATGCTTTTGGCTGAAATTTGAAAAAGGCTGCCAGTCACTCACTCAAAGAAAGCACTTAATAAAGCTGCCTGTCTCCTAACTCCCATATATATTTCTCTATTTGTTGCTATCTGTGAAGTTTATCAAATACTGTAGCATTAACACTTGCATATGGATAACTTTCTAATTACATGTATACATTTTTCATTGGCTTTCCCATAGTTGTAATCCTGTGGTTATTTTTAGTCTCATACTTTCCTCTCCATTTCACACATCTTATTCATTAATGAATTATTAGATTGGATAGATTGAATTATAGTTTGTGTTTCATAGGAAAACAATGGTAAAATTTTAGTACAAATTATGATGTGCTATAGAATAGGTTATACAAGCATAATAGGCAAATTAATTTAATTCAGGATAATCCATGTTGTGCTGCAGTAGGGTGGCTTGGGCTTAGAGCCACAGATCCCTAACTGGATCAGGAGAAAAGTTTCCAAGTTTGTAATAGGCAGCTTTAAGCCCTGAATAAAACTTCAGATTCTTAACAAACTTTAATGTTCTGGGCATCATTTCCTCAAGGAAGCTTTGACAATCCCAGTTTAAGTATGTAAAGTTTGCATTAAATTTATTTCAAGATTAGCTTTAAAAGTTGTGAGGCAATATTAAACCAAACCTGGAATGGATTAAATAGTATCAGTAAGCTCTAGCCCAAATGCATGAGGTGCAAATATATTCAAAGAATGTATTTTGAAATTTATTTAAATCATCACGAATACTATAGGGATAGGCCTTTTTTGATGTCAGTGAAAGTCTTTTCATTTTACATCGCTGACTGCTTTTATACTGTATCATTCTGTACTCATACTTACTGCTGCAGATACAGCCCTCCTCCTATTTCTATAATCCTATTTATCCCTCATAAAATTGCTGACGAATTCACAACCTGCTTATGAGAGAGGAATTTCTTATGCTCAGACTAAACAGATCCTATCTGGGAGAGAAGGGATGTTACTTGCTACAAGTGTGAGCACTTTCAGATACAGTCTTCAGGTGTGGACAGTGTGGACATTAGCTTAATTCAGCCCTGGCTTCTAAATTTTTACCTTTGATAATACAACTGCTGTCAAATTGAAAACAACATAATGTGAAAAAAACAAAGGTAACTGTTATTATGCCAAGATGGTTTAAACAATTTACACAGATAATCAGATGTTTATACTGGTTTGAAGATTTATCCCTTGTCTTTGTTTGATTCTAGCTCATACCTAATCAGCACATTTGTTACCTAGATTTTCAATCCTAATCCCATTTAAACTAAGTATTTATTGAATAATATGAGATTGCAGAAATTTTCCTGTTTTTATTTTATGTAGAAATTAATCCTTTTTTTTTCAGTTATATAAAAATATGTGGGCCGAGATCCTTCAAGGAAGCAAAGCTCTGAACAGACCTTCATGGTGGGCAGAATTTTGTACTAATAAACCTGTTATAGGCAGATTGAGGTCAAGATTATAAGTGGAACAGTTTGCAAGAGGCCAGACGGGGCTGAGATGGATACCATATTTCACAGCATCACAAGATTTCAAACATCAGGAGGAAATAAGAGCATATGTCAAACATTGAAAATGAAAGAGATTTTCATATAGAGGTGTAAAATCTTAAAATAACTTTGAAATCAAGTCCAACTTGAATTGTACATATCCTTGTAAATCAAGTTAATTGAAAATGAGTCATTTATACATTTTTTTTAAAAAGTATTGTAATGCAAACTTGAAAGTCTTATATTTTTTTCCTGTTAGCTATAATGCTTTCAGTACTGCAAAATGGGTAATAAGTCTGGAATAAGTCAACATACACCTACTTTTTTAGATCACTATATACTCAAATGAATTGTTAAAAATATTGTATTGTAAGAACATGTAACTGTGTTGATATTGAACATACCACAGTTTCTCTCTGTCATCTCTATTAACTGGCAAATATTTTTCTTTTTAAAAGAAAAAGATCCTAACAGAAGGCTTTGAAAATTCAAAATCGTTAACGCTTTAATGTGAAGAAGTCATTTTTCTTTGTTGTTTCTGTGAACTGTTAAATCCTGTTTTCCTGCTTCCCTTCTGTTGTGAGCAAGCTTATCAAATCAGAGAAATTATTTTGTAAATTGACCAATATCTATGGCTTCATCTTGTGTTTTTACAATAAATGCATGTTCCACATTGACTTCCACTTTAGCAGAATCAGACCCTTGCCCTTCAGAATTTTTAAAATTTCACAAATAGTTTCAATGTCAGTATATAAAAGTTTGAACGTCTTTACACACTACCACCTTGTGATAGGGTAGTTCTGTGGAGGCTTCCATGGTTCCATCTAAATTTGACAGAGCTCAGGAGACTTTTCATTGAAGAAGAAACCATTACAAGGCCAATATTAAGAAGATTTCTTACTGTTCCTCAAGGTAAAATAGCATACAGAACATTTTTAAGTTTTAGTTTTCATTTTTAAGAGCAGTACAAGGTTAATTAAGCTGTCGATCACCACACTTAAGTAATAAATAAATAAGATGTTTACATCTCCACTGGAAAAAATGGATAGAAATATCTTGTTAAGCTTTACCTGTATTTTTTTTCTGAACTTCATTTTCTTTGTCCAGAGGTTTGTCAGTGTTTCCAGTGTTTCTTCCAGTATTTTTTTCTTCTTTTCTAATGCAGTATCATAAGTCAAAATGACCCAGTAGAAATCTCTATCTAGCTATTGAACTATACAAAAAAGTCAAAATTTTAGCCAGATTTGCTAAAAAACAAATCAGTATTTACTAAGATTTTATTTTCTTTGCATTGTTTTTGCCACTTTTAAGAATGTCCAATAGGTGGCATCATCCCGTGGAAAAAGCTAGATCAATATAGCTGTCCTTACAGACTATAGAATCATACAGCCATTTGATTATCTGTTTATGCATCCACAGAGAATCCCACAAGTGAGGATTTGTAATTTGTATTTGCCCCCCCCCTTTTTTTTTTGCAAATATGAAGGAAAAACACAGGTTATTTCCAGTACCCAGTGTGAACACCATGATCTGTGTGTCAATAAAATGGAAATATGGGGAAAACAAAGCCTCACTACTCAAATGCAGAGACCAGTGGTGCTGATCAGCTGCTCCACATTCTGCACCATCAACTCTCAGCAGCAGCATTTCACCTCATCTTACAAGCTTGCGATTTCACTGGCACCTCTGAGTCTTTCCTAAGTGATGGTTTTTACTGTCTCTTGGGGAAGAAGTGATATAAAGTAGCACAGTTCTCTAGAAACAGACTGGTCATCTGTTTTTGAGGCCTTCTGCTGTTCTGGAGGGAAAAAAACAGCTGAGAAGTCACAGTAGAACAAAACCAAAAAGTCAGCAAGCCCCAAAGATACCTAGAAAACACATTACAGGAAAAACAGCCTTGTAGCACTTTTGTGGAGGTATATGCCTAAACTATTTCTGCTCCTCTTATTTATTACTACTATTTTGTCCATGTCCAAGATCCCTGTTAAAAGCTGAGCCACCGCGTGCTGATGAGGATGCACAGCTCTCAGGAAGCTGTGGTGGTTGGCTGAAAAGCTTCAACCTTGGGCAGGAATGAACACTGGAGGGAGTGTATTGACAAGAACGTGATTTTGGGGAGGCAGAATAGGATAATCAGTAAAATGTTATGACTATAGATGCTAGTACGGGAAGTGTGCAGGTTCTTCACAGAGCTTCCATTAAGCACATAACTTCATAAGAGTTTTGGATACCTACACAGTTAACAAATCATTAGACACCTGAACATTTTACTACAGTCCACATGACAAAGTGCCAAAGCTGAAATATGTACAAGTGAACCGGGTCCACTGCAAGACTATGGGGAGTGACTCGTAATGTCCCACATCTCTGCCTCCCATGGGGACATGGTGGCTGTTCATCCAGGCTCTTTGCAAGCTCAGCACCAGGTGTTCCACAGCTGTTGCACTTTAGATGCTTCCAGCACAGACGGACTCATTCTGTGGGCCAGGTCCCCTCTGCACTGGATAATCATCAAAGCCTTAATATTTTGGGTATGTATATTTGAATAATCTTTCTTTCCCTTTAATCAGTTATGGCTTTGAATTTCTGACCTGTATAATCAAGTGTTTTTTCCCCAAAATCAACTCTTAGACAAAGGTCTTAGAGATCTCCTGTACCCAGATTTTAAGAGCTTTTAAGAACTTGAGTTTGGAGGCAGTGTGGAGGGAGTGAAATGTAATGAAATTTGGCAGCTAATTCTCTGCTAAATCATAGGGTAATAATTCAACAACTACCACAAGATGTCATTACTATTTGCAGTTTGTTCCTTTACAGGACATTAAATAGAAGAGACCTCTGGCAGAACAGAAAAGTCACTTCCCACCCCAATGCCAAGTAATGTTGGATGTGTCATTTTAAGTTGGCTGGGAAGTTGGGTCAAAGGCTGTCAAATCCATTCAGACCAAAACCATCTGCCCATGGGAATCCATACATTCAGTTGCCATGTAAAGGCAGCCAAATCTATCACCGGGAAGTTGAATGTGTGTTGGCCTGGAGGAGCCGTGACCTACCTTTCCTGGTAACCCTGGTGGCTTCTCTCCTGGGCACTGCTGTTTTTCTTCCTGGCTTATTGTCAAACTACCTGTCTATCTGCTAAAGTTATTTCAGCCTGGTTTCCTCTGTGACTCAGTTAAATCCACAGAGCTCTTCTATATCAAAAATCCCTTGATAGTATGGAAGATACGTGCATGAATCATTCCAGACCTCTTGTGGAAGCTGTGGTGTCAGGAGAAATTATTAGGGAACCAAAAGGAGATCCTACCATGTTTCGCAACAGCTGCAGTTCTGTGGATCTGGGCTTCCCATAGGTGCTGTTTCTCTACAGATAGACTCATGCTTCCCTCGTATTGCTGTAGCTCCAGGAGCCTTAGTAATTTCTGTTCTTTCCAGGTCTCATTAGCCTGAGATCAGAATAGGGCTCCAGACCATTTTAGCTTGGTTCACTGGCCTAAGGAGCAGCATAAGCAAAGGGGAGCTCCCTGCATGAGACACCATGTGATAGTGTAATCTGCGACAGACGGATCCAGTCAAGGCAAGGTCAGCCGTGATCGCAGCAGGCTGCCCAGAACAATGTTAGCAGCAACAGAAGCATAAAACATCTCTTTTCCTCAAATAAAGGCCCAGGTTTATTAAAATGCAAGCAGAGCATTTCACATCATTTCCTTTCAGAGGCAGAAACAGTGATAAATGTAGTTTTTGCTGAGAACAACAATTCTGCTGGCTACCTTGCCTTTTTGTTTTCCAAAATTTTACAGTCTGCTGAGCCTTCTGACAGCATGACTCTCTCAGACAAAGTGCAGCCTCCACTGGGATTTTCTCCACTGCATTTGTCAAAGGATAGACCTAGGGTGGCTAGGACAATTTCCTGCAGTCTGACTGATGGAAAATTACACATTTTTACACTCTTTCCAAAATTATCACCATAAAAATAATTCTCAAAACAATTTCTTTTTTATTTCTAGAAAGTTTTTTTTTTTTTGGCATGGGAACTATGGTAAACATTAGCATCAAGCAGCTGTTGAGACTTGCAGAAGACTCAAAAGTCACAGCTCAGTGTATAACGAACCTCACTCGCATCTATCCCTCTCCAACCTGTCTCTACATTCAGAGCTTTGCTAAAAACTCAGTTTTGCCATTCAGGTCTTTTGTTGCCATCCAAGTCTTTTGTCTTGGCCTACCATCCCCAGTAGATATTTTGGGGTAGGTTGCACGTAAGAATGGAAAACAATTGCCTGAGCATGAGACCTCTTTTTACAGTGTAATATATATATATATATATTTCGTAAAATGTAAGAATCAAACAGAAATATATAGGCAGACATCATTCTCTATAACAAAGATATGAGCTGTGATGACAGTTGATACTGAGGCAAAAAGGCAAAAAGTATTCAACAAGTTCTGCTTTGTATTTACACGCTTTCATCACACAGTGATGATGAACAACTTCCCAATCTGTTAGTAATCAAGGAGGGTGTTAGGCAGTTGTGCTCTGGTAAACACTATAAATTCAGCAGGGCCATATACCTTACAACAGACTACTGGAAAGAGTTGAGTAAGGAGGTCTTTGGCCTCCTGATGCTGCTTTCTGTTGTGTTTAAGTGTATCAAAGAAATTCAGACACCAAGTCTTGCTAAATATTGTACCAATATTTTAAAAGAGACAAGAGGTGGTTCAATCACAAGTAAAATAATGGAAAAGCTGAACTATGATTGAACTAATAAAACAATGACCATATAGCAATATAATTAGTATCGAAAGGTTTAAAGAGAGTAGACCTTGTCAGACAAGCCTGATTTCGATTTTGGAGGAGTTTACAGATACACTCAAACTGTGATGCTTAAACATAAATCATAACCTGTGTGTATATTTATTTACCTCTAATTAATGTCACATGACACTCAATGTCACATGACACAGTGATCAAAAATTAGCATTCTGC